CGCCGCTGCTGCCGCTGCTGCTGCTGGTGCCCGGGAGGCGGCTGGCGGCGGAGGCTCGGCTCCTAGTCGCCGCACATCCCACAATACACCGCTAAGGAGCCCGACCCGAGCGCTCACCCTCCTCCTCCTCCTCCTCCTCTTCCTCCTCCCCTCGCCTTCCTCACTGCTTCCCCAGGCACTCTCCCGGCGGCGGCAGCTGCGCCGCCAAAGCCCCGGGCCCCAGTGGCCCCCCACCCCTCACTTGCGCGCTCCCACACTGCCTCCCCCCTCCCCGGGGGAAGGCCTTTTAATTTATTTATTCTGCTGGGACTTAGATGGGGGGCTCGGCTGGCGGGGGAGGGGGTGTCCCCGGGCTCTACCTCCCGCGACCGGGGCTAGTCTTCCAGCCGCGGCCGCCCAGGCGAATGCCTCGGGCCTCCAAAACTGTTTCCAAACTGCCAGTGCCCGAGGTGGGCGCGTGTGGACTCGGGGGACAGGGCTGTTTTTGTTTATTTGCGGGGGGAGGGAGGGAGTGATTGTGTGTTTGGACGCCGAGAGTCTTGAGGGGAGCCGACTTCGACTCCAGCAGAGTTGTAATCGAGGGATCTGCGCTCCGGTTTCCTCTCCGGCCCCGCGACCCCCTCCCTGCTGGAACCGAGCTGGGGAGAGGAGACCAGGATTTGAACCAATTTAGCTTTCGCATTCCTAGGAGGATGCAGCCCTCGTCTGGACCCGGGTGATAGAACCTTCTCTCTGTTATTATTTATGGAGGGGAGCGCCCTGTAATTGTCCTGAACACATGCTTCACCCCCTCCTTCTTCCTCCAGTCACAGTCGGAGGAGAGAGTCCCCCTTTTTTGCATTTATCTTTTCCTTCCCCTTTCTTTATTAAAGGTCCTGGAGTGGCGGCGGCCAATCAGCGCGCGGCTTCCATTTTGTGAGTTCAACTCCGCGGCTTCTGGGCTTGACGAGGACGCGTTTGCAGCCCCCTCTGTCTCTACTCTCTTGCGGCCGGGGCGAAGGAGCCGCCTCGCCGGGGCTTCGTGGTGGTGGATTTCATATTGGGGCTCTTTTCGGGGTTTGTAATTTGGCAGTGGGTAGGTAATTGGCTGGAGCAGGGCGGCAGGGCGCGGCGGCCAATCAGCGCGCGGCTTCTATAGGGCTTGAGTTATTAGACGCTGATCTCAAAACATCCTTCATCAGACACCAAGGAGAGGCCAACAGATGAGGGGAGCCATTTTTCTGCAATGGAATTAAATGGCCAAGTGGGTTTTTCCTTTGTTGCAAATGGGGAATGTTTTTCCTTTGACTCCACCATCCCGTTCAGGACGCCTCAGTGTGTTGTTTAACATTTGTCAACAGGCAAAAGGACTCACAATTGGAAGAATGAAGACTTTTTTTTTAAAGACCTGGATTTTTCCTTATGACTTGGAATCCATCTTTGTCTTGTATAACTAGGTCATAGCACACCATTAATGTCAGCAGTTAACAATTTTGAATTCCAAAAAACCTAAGTAAATTACATAGTTCATTTTTTTCCTCTTTTTTTTTTTTTTTCTTGAATTGGGTGGGTGGTGGCGGGAGCTTGAAGCTATCTTAATCTCTATTCTCTTGACTGAACAATAAATTTTGTAAAATATATGTAGTTTCCTCTATTAAACACTAAACCTGGCCATCTTATTAACTCCTGCTCTGTTTTTAACAAGGTAATGTTTGAAATGTCTAGCTCTAGGAGTAGCGAAATGGCAGCAACAAAAAATATATTGTGAGCAGTTGTTACTCAGTTTTTTTTTAAAAACCTTTTACATTGTAAGTACCCAATCCATTCTGTCCTTACAAGTGCAGTTTTTATGTTAATGTTGCTGAGATGTCCTTAATTTCTAAACCTTCATCTGCATGTCTGTCTTTGTCTCTCTTGTCGAATATAAGCCAGTTAAAAATGCTTTTTATAGACGATTTTGCTTTTCTAAAGCTAAGGTTTTTAGCTGTAAGCTTGTGCAAATGTCTACAGCAATCAGTACTAGTCAGCTTTCTTCCCAGTATAACATGTACACTTTCTTTGAAAATCGATCTATTTGAAGAAAAACAGCTCTGTTTTTCTCGTCTTGGTGGAGGGGGGTTGGTGGTGGTGGTGGTGAGAGAAAGGAAGACTCTTTGTGGAGAGAACTAAAGCCGTCACAGGAAACTAGATTAAAACTGGAAAACAAGTCCTAGCTGGTCTCAGCCAAACACCAACGTTAGCTCGGCGGTATTTTCTATAGCAGTTGAGATGGCTGGTGCGTCTTTTGCCTTTTGTTTGACTGTGTATTTTCGCCTTTTGTCTCTTAATGACGGTCACACCATTGCTATATCCAGAGCAGTAAACAGCCCTCCGCGAAGCCGCCTTTTGCCAACCCAACCCTGGAAAGTTTACAGAAGTGGAAGGAGCAGACAATGCCATGAGAGTGTAACTTACAATAAGGTAACAACAACAAAAAAGGCAACACCATTTCCCCAAATTTTCCCAACTAAACAATCAAAAAGCAAAAAAGCCCAACAACCTCCATGTGTATATATGTCTTTATAATAACACCTCCAAAACCACCGCCCAGCTTGATCTTCCAGACTCCATGGCACCGGGCTGAGCGGGTAAGTAAAAAAAAAAAAAAAAGTGCCTTTACCCCTTCGAGGAAATTCTTCTTTGAGCAGGCCAAGGCTGCAAATGTTTGGGAACTGAGGGGAGGAAGAGGTTTTTGGAGCTTTATGTTTGGCAGCCTGAGGGAGAGGACGGGGGAGACTATTCAGACCCCGTTGCCCCCTCTGTCTCAGAGGCGAAAAAAGGGTCTCCCCAACGACCCTTGAGCACCCATGGAGCCGCCTGATCTGAGATTCCAAATCTGAGCCTTGGTGGGGAGGATTTGACATGCTTTGGAGATCGGGGTGTTCAGAAGACGTAGAAACATTCCCACTTAGCCTAGGACCCTTTTCCCTTTTGATATTGGGGGCCTAGCACCCCAGAACAGGCTTTTCGGGGCTCCGGGACGCGCCTGCACTTCCTGAGCAAAAAAGGACAAAAGGCCGGCATCCATGTTGGCAGCATGACGCAGCATCTCTCCCGCCTGCAGCCTAGCGCTGCTTGTGCTCCCGGCCGTGCTCGCTCCTCCCTCCCAAACATGAGTTTTAGTTCCAGATTTCTAAGAGAGCCAGGGGCCGGGGCCGGGGCTGGGGCTGGGAGCGGGGACTGGGCCGGACCGGGGCCGCGGGCGAGCCCGGTCGGCTATGCTGTGATGGCTAATGGCGGCCGGCTTCCTTTTCCTCCCTCCTTTCCCCGCTTGTCATTGCGAGCCCGGAGCAGGAGGCGGTGCTCAATCGGGCCGGGCCCTGAACGTCAGCGGTCCCGGTGCCCCTTTTTGGGGAAAACGTCGTAGGGCCCATTTCGGGGGTCCCGGGCCTCGGGAGCGTCGCGCGTGGCGACTCCTGTACTCGTTCCGTCAAGCGAGGCTGCCAGACCGGCGCCATTTCGTGCGCCGCCTGCGGCCCGGGCGGTGGCGGCTGCTGCGCGCCGGGCGAGAGGGAGGTGGCGGCGACGGCCGGGGGAGGGGACGCGGCTAGCCGCCTGTCTTAGGACTCCTCTGCCCTAGGACTCTTCTGCCGGGGTGGGATGGCAGGCCGTGTCTTCAGACCCCCGCCCCGACACAGGGCCCACGCTGCAGGAGGAGGCCGCCCTCCATGTGGCCTGGGAGCAAAGCACCAGGGGACTGGACCGGGCCTGACCCCGGGCCGCCCCCTACTGCCCACCGGGTCGTGGCACTTCTGCTCGGGCTCCCACCCGCCCTTTGACAGCCGAACCGGAGGGGCGGGTCTCCCCCATTGTCTCCATCATGAGTTTCAGATGCCCCATTTGGCCACCTGCGGCACACAGCCCTCGAAGCCGGCCCCTTTGGTTCGAGGTGGGGGTGGGAAAGCTGAGCCGGGATCCCCCCGGGGTCGAGGTCTTGGGGGTGAGCCCAGAGCTCCCCGGCCCTTCCTGGGGGAGGGGATGCGGCCGGGGCGGGCCTTTGGAAATGCAGATGAGTCGCCTCCTGCTGCTTGTCGCCCGGACTGAACCTTGGTGACTCAGCCACCCTTCCCCCATCCACTCCAGCATGAAGGCCGCCCTGGCAGCTGGGCGGTGGGTGGTGGGGGTGGTTGTTTGTAAGGTTATCCTAAGCTCCAGTAGACCCTGTCCTGCTCGTATTGGGTCAGGGAGGCGTCAGATCCACAAATGGGGGCCCCCTAACCAGCCCTCCGCTTTCCCCCTCCCCCCAGGCCCTTGACTGGAGAAGGGACAGCGTGCCCGGTGCCCCAGAGCCGACAGTCTCTCCTGCTTTGGACAGCGGGACTTAG